ATTACAATTTGGATCCGAATTTGTAAGAATAAAATCCCAGCAGAAATAAATTTGTTGGGTATTTTAGTTGATATTACAAAATTCATTGTAATAATTAAGAAGCTTAAAATAATTAAAAAAAAAAACATATTAAAATTGAGATTACTTATTACAAGTTATCTAATAAATTCTACTATTGCTACGGCAAATTCAGTCATTTACAATCGAAAATTGTAATTTCGTGTTGTAGTAAAAATTTAATTTTCTCAGGGTTCTAATAAGAAAACTTTCGAGTACGTTGCTAGTTTTACTGCACCAAGTACCCAAATTTTGAAACCTTTTTTGAGTGACAAAAAATATATAAAACAGCTGAATTTTATAAAACATTAAATATATAATCGAAAAGGATATTGAAAAAATTAACTTGATAAAATAAAGAAAAAGTAATTAAAACAGTATCGGTTTTGATTCTTAATAAGATATTGGAATATTTAATTAAAACGACTAATTAACAGTTAAATATAGGGTATACGTGTAATTGCTGAACTTATTGATTATTGAAACTTATCCAAAATATAAGTAAAACACTAAGTTTCAAGAAAATTTCACCTCGCAGGGGCCCCATTACCTGATAATAATAAATAAAATTTCTTAAAATTGGTTTCTTACTTGCTTACATGTTTCAAACTTTATTGTTATAATCAATTAAAGGGTTTGCCAGTGGTTATACCATTATCCCCATTTACTAGCTGATGTTTTTATTTATGAATAATTTCGAAATTACTTTATTTAACTCCGATAATAATCAATTACCTGAAAAAATTCATACATCTTGTAAGTAGGTACGAAAAAAATTTTTTTTTCCCATTTGATGGGCTACAAAAAATTAGCAACATTCCTATTTAAATTCAATAAACAAAACGTAGTACTAATAAGTATATCATGAAGTCATTTCTAGTTTTAGAACATTACCCAGTTCAACAATTTTTTTTACGTCAATAAGCACTCCAATATATAATTTTTTGCATAACGATCAATCAAAATTTGTATTGATGAGAGTAAGATATACTCTATTTTTGATTATTCTTTTTTTTGCTTGCTCTGTTACAGTAGTATATAAGTCAGTCCGAATGACCAAACGAAAACAGTTCGACACTGTACTACATCGACTAAAAGGTAAGAAAATATATATTTACCAATTTGTTAAATGCTTAATTTCGGTAAACGAATTAGTAATAAACAATTATCGTCTTTTTAATTAATACAACTCAGGAACATCCTAAAGCATTTTCCGATTCTATTAATTTTTATTCTTATTATACCTGACTTTTAAAATTCTTTTCAGAAATATACAATGAATTCGTTGGCGATTTTTGGCGTTATACTCTTGGCAGCTTCGAGCATGTCAATTCCGCTCAGTGGAAACACCAGAGCTTCTTGCTCCCTTACAGGATCATCAATAAGTGCCTTAAGTTCTATCAAACAATCGTGTACAAGTATCACCATTCAGGACTTGACCGTTCCTGCCGGTCAAACTTTAGATTTAACTGGACTGAAATCTGGAACAACTGTTACTTTTGCGGGAACAACCAAATTCAGTACAAAACTATGGGCTGGTCCCCTAATCTCTGTTAGTGGATCCCATATTACAGTGAACGGAGCATCCGGAAATAAAATTGATGGTGGTGGCCCTTCTTACTGGGATGGAAAAGGTGGAAATGGTGGAAAGACCAAACCTAAATTTTTCAAAGCAGGAAAACTCACCCACTCAGTTATTAAGAACATTAATATCTACAACTCCCCCGTGCACGTCTTCTCAATTAATAACTGCCAAAATCTAACAGTACAGAACGTCCTCATTGACGACTCAAAGGGTGATTCTGCTGGTGGTCACAACACTGATGGTTTCGATATTAGTGACTCTTCCCAAATTACGATCAAGAACAGTAAAGTTTACAACCAAGATGACTGTCTCGCCATCAACTCCGGAACTGACATCCATTTTGAAAACAACTTCTGCAAAGGTGGACATGGTATCTCGATTGGATCCGTTGGAGGTCGTGATAACAATGTCGTAAAGAAAGTGACCGTTAAGAACTGCGAAGTTGTCAATTCCGACAATGGTATCAGAGTCAAAACCATATACGGAACGACAGGAACTGTCAGTGATATTACCTTCCAAGATATTACTCTTACCAACATCCACAAATGTGGTATCAGCGTTCGTGGTGATTACACCAACAGTGGAAGCAAAGGTACTGCAACTGATGGTGTTCCAATCAAGAATTTGATCGTTCAAAATGTCCATGGTACGATAAATTCTGGAGGTACCAGGGTCACGATTTTGGTTAAAGGAGCATCAGGATGGAAATGGTCTGGTGTAAGTCTTAGTGGGGGAAAGTCAGCAAGCGATTGTTCTGGAATACCAAGTGGATCCGGAGCGAAGTGTTGAATAATCCTGTGACTAATATTGGCTAGAGATCTATATATGCATTATGTAAAGCATGGTATACCATTTATGTGTTCATTTTTTTTATATTAATAAATTATCTGGGTATAGAGACTAATTTAGTTTGTAACTAACCTGAGAGGTAAAATGCCTTAATTCGATTGATTATGTTTTTTCCTATTATCATTGTACTCAATCATCTTGTTCTATCAGTAATGATATTTTTTATGACTGCAATTTATCGCAATAGTTAAACAATTTGACAATGGCAATGTTCTGTAATTCTCATCAATTAAGGAAATCAAACAAAAAGTGATACAACATATCAATCATATCACCGGAGTACCATCTAGCAGACGCACATCTCGTTAATCTCCCACTTACTATTTCAGTTATCGAGTATAAAAATATTAATCCTCCAAACTAACGTTTTATATAGTTTTTTGATGATGTCAGCCCGATAGTGCTCGAAGATTTTCGCTTTTAAACCTGATTCATCTCCAGAAAACAACTGATCAGAAATCCCAAATCTTATCAACACTCGGTATGTTATAAAGCAGTGTTCCTATTATTTCATTTCTTTTAATTTAGTTTTAATTATTGGTAAACTAACCATTGGTAATAGTTTTCATCATCATCATAAGGTCGTCAGTCCTAAAACTGGTTAGACACGTACCTCCACTCTTTCCTATCCTGAGCTAAACTTCGCATTTCCCTAAAACTAGAACAGCCCACATCCTTAACTATTTGCGAANATAATTCCAAACGATTTTAAACCTAAAACCGGTAATCAATTAACTTTCCCATTAAATACATAACCTCATAATCCTTAAAATTTCTAACCCTAAAACCTTATAACTTCACAACCCTATATACCCATAATCAAAATACTGAAACAGTATTCCTTAATCTTTCGCCATGAAACTGTTTATCACGTAGATATCACAAAATCCAAATAAATAAATTTACGTAAATTTAACAACACAAAATTTTATACTAACAAATTAGTCGATTTTAGTCCAGAATTTCTTGTCATGATCCCATATATATATTGAATTGAACCTACATTTAGCGGTGCCTCAATTTAAACGAAACGTTTTTTTACCTATTTTTGATCACTCCGTATAGTAAATTAAATTAAGATGTCACCGACGATCTTACATTCAAATAGGGAACAAGCCTTGTTTCCGATTAAACTCATTATCTGGCCACAATGAGCATATTGCAAACTTATTGGGATTTTTAACTGGAAAAGACAGTGTTTGAATATCGCCGTGATTATTATTGTTTGGGTTCAAAATATGACAAAAACGAACCACGCAAGGAAGCAAAGCCAATGTGCCTTTCTCTATTTTAATGCCTATAAGAGGATACGCGTGGGTACTTGAGTACAATTAAACAAAGATGAACTATCTTATTATTGTTATTTGTTTTGTGATTATTGTATTTTTTTAAAGAGAAAACACCGCAATCACTACAATAAATATTTTTGTAGACATAACGGCTATTTCTTGATTCATTACATGTACCATTAAAAAATAAAGGTAAATATCAATGACCGGATATAAGAAATGTTTTTTTTTTTTCGTAAAAACTAGTACCATTTGATATCATAATCATTTTTATATACAATAAATGACAAAATGCTTTTAATACCTCTAGGTCTAATG